GCGAGAGTGAACTAGTAGACCTACCCCCCCCCACCCCACCACACACACACACACATGGAACAAAGTACAGAAAAAGCACTCCAGAGAATTCCTTGTAATATATGAAGCAAAAAAAAAAAAAAACTTTTTCAAAAAAAGATGGAAAGCTACATTTCCAAAATTTATCATTTTTGTCACTGAATTTAAGCAGTGCCATGCGCATAATTTACCTGCTCAGTATTAAACGAGCAGCTCTTTGAGAAAATTGCTCAACTCTCAATGTCATTATTTGGAAGGATGACAGCAGGGGATTTACTAGAATGTCTATTTTCATTAATGTTGTGCTACTTGTCTAATTTCATTTAGAGACTGAACTGTTGAAATATCACTCTTCTTTTTGTCCAATATAATGTTTTCACCAGAAGTTAGCACTTATTTTTGAGATGTTGTCAAGCAGAGAAGTTCAGCATTTCTGAGTCTGAAGCACACTGATTGTAAATAACCCTCTATTTTTCAGTCATGACAAATAGCTACTTTAAAACTGCTTGGGTTTAAAAGGAAACTATGCAAACATTTTTGATATGAGATAGTGTGGATTGTTTGTTTAATGCATAGTATGGACCTCTAAGAATAATACAAATGGAGCAGAACTTGCATTTATGACTAGTTCGTGTGTGTAGGATTATCACTTGGTGGGTAACAGCATAGGCAGCAAACGTCCATCAATAAACCATTACCAATCAAATAATGAAGAAAGGGTACTTCAGGTCAAAGATGCAGTGTTCCTCAGAAGTCAACCCCCACCTGTGAGTCTGTCAGCATCAGGGTTCGATTTTCTTCCAATGGGATTAGGTATATACATACGCCCACATATGCAAAGGAGTGGTAAAAAGAGTATGTCATGACCTACACACATTCAGATGTTATATGGGTCAAAAGCAGGAACAAGATGTGCATGTTTTTAACTCTAATGTCTGGTTTTATGCATTTACGCTGATGGCTGTGATGATGTCAAGTCATCCATTGGAATTGTATTGTATGATGTTTCTTTCTGGTTCTGGGCAGCGTTCTCGTCGGCTGCCATTGGATTGTAGTAGGATAGATCTCCGAAGTTTGGGCTGAAAGGTTCAGGCATAGTGTCTAGTCGCAGAACTGCAAGATATACATTGATATTTATTTACATGTGCTTTAAACAATCCTTCCTTGGACTGAATGTTAAAGACATCATGTGAGTTATTTTAACACAAGATCTATACAATGTTCTGCATAGAACAAAATATAATACATTAAGTTCAATACATGCATACAGTTATGTGGATACCCCCACATATGGGAACATCTTTTAGGAAATTTTTCTATCTCAGGTGACTGGGAATTCTATTTTTATTTATTTATTATATCTATTTAGATAGCTGCCCATCTCCCAATTGCAAAAAAATTGTAGACCTGCACTTATTAAAAAAATTAAGCATAGGTAGAAGTAGGAAACTTGGAAAGTAGATTTCAAACCAACAACCTTTGACTTAGGCATACTTATACTAACTATGCTATTGTCACTTAATTTCCCAGAGCATTTCAGTAAACCAAGGAGTGCACCAGGATTGCTGAACAGAGAAAGGCCACTCAGGAACAATCTAATTCAGAGCCATAGTCACCTGCTCGTTCCAGGTGGTGACTAAGGCCTCAGTCAAACTGCCCACCTGGGTCTCAGGAAATTCCCCATGCACCCTCTAGAAACTAACAAGATCCATAAGCTGCCTACGTGGGCCGACTAAACGGTCCCACTTGAGGAAGCAGCACAAGAAAAATCCAGGCCAACCAGACAGTGATCTGATTATTACAAAGGGTAGATGTTAACATCTTGCAGATCATGTTAAAACTACTCTGAGACAAAAAACAGATTCAACATGTGACTACCAAAATTATTTGGGCCCTTAGTGACCTGGATTCAGAAGTGAATAATCATTGGCATCCATTCCTGTCCTCAAAAATGCATTGTTGTTCCATTCTAGCAATCCATTTGACTCTAATTCCTCCATTTCTTGAAATATGTTATTACCTGGATCATTCCTTGTGTCATCATAAAGTCGCTGATGTCCAAATGATTCAGGCTTTCTCTTTCCACAGATAAAATATCCAGCCAGGCCAATCAGTGCAGATCCGAACATTGCTCCTACAATTGTTCCAAAGATTACCGCTCCTTTACTAGGATTTGCTGGAAAACAAATCCAATAAACATAACCATCTTCATGAAAATAACATCCAATACCAATGAAATTTTGCTTTGTTTTGTTTAATCTGGAATTTTTCAGGAATAACACAGAGAAGGTTTAAATGAATACTGACCTAAACATTTATTTCTGGATTTTCCTTTGGTTATTTAATGAAAAGGAGATTGCTTAAAAAAAAAACAAACGCAGAGGAGAAGATAATGTTGAAATGTTCATGTTAAGGGGAAAAAAATCATTATAAGCTGGCTGAGGAGTGGGTGTGAATGTTCTAGCTTTCTTTCTACAGTCATCTCTCCAGCAATCTGCAACCTACCTTGCTCCTTATAGTTAAGCCCTCATGGAAGACATCAAGAATGAACTTCTATGTTTTGCTTTGGATTCCCCCAACACCATATCAGGAATCAGGGAGGGTCTGGAGTGATTGCAAAGTGCCTATTATTGGAGAAGGAGGGAAGAGAGAAAAAAGTCCCCAGAGGAAGATCTTTGTTTTGGGTTCATTCTGGCATAACAGTAATTTAAACTGTCACTCACGCCCTTGTGACCTACCATTTGGATTACTGCAACGTGCTCTACATGGGGCTGCCCTTGAAGAGCATTCAGAAGCTTCAGCTGGTTGTAAATGGTGTCTGCTATTCGGCACACATAACACCACTGCTTCGGGAGGCTGCATTGGTTGCCAGTGTGTTTCCGGGTGCAATTCAAGGTGCTGGTTGTCACCTTTAAAGCCTTTCATGGCTTGGAACTGTGTTACTTGAGGCACATCTTCTCCCAGTTGTTTCGACTCATCCAATCTGATCTGGCAGGATAGGCATGCTCCAGGTGCCATCAGCCAAGAAATAATGGCTGGTGGGGTCCAGGAGTCGTGCCTTTTCTGCTGTAGCACCTGTCTGCTGGAACATCCTCCCTCCGGAGATTAGGTTGGCCCCAATCCTGATGGCCTTTCAGAAGGCCTTGAAGACCTGGCTATGTGCCTGGGCCTGGGGTCTTGGGTGTGTGAAGGGCCCCATTTCCTGGTTATGTTGACACCAATGGATTATAATATCTCTTGGCTGCTATCTGTATTTAATTTCTTTTTTGTATTGTGTTTTAACTGTTTTGTTTTTATTATTGTTCATCACCTAGAGTCACTGGTTTGAGATGGGCAGCTATACAAATTGAATAAAATAAATAAATACATAAATTAAAGCTGAAATGCACAGCCTATGGCCTTTCAAAGACTCAACTCAAGCCATATGCAGCTCCCAGGGTCTTAGACATGGCCCTGAAATTCCTTCTAAAAGTTGCCACTCAATTACATTTAATGAGGCAGAAGGAGAAAATGATTAAATGGGGATGAATAAGAAAACGAACTATAATACATTTAATTAGTTCTGTTAAAATATCAATTCTAGTAAAATAACTTTTTGTCAATATCCCTTTGAATATGCCCTGAATGAAGAAAAGTAGTTAAAAAGTATAGACAGACAAAGAATTCCCACCTGAGAGAAATGAAATCTTTCTTAGAATGCTTTGGACAAATCTATATAAAAATGTGGATGAATATCTAACATGTCAGTCCCACAGTCAACTGAACTCTGGAAAGCTACCATTCTTGTCACTCTTTTAACAACAAATGGACTTGTTTGTTCTTAGAAGAGTGGAACAGACTTGTTCCATTCTGTTCAAATAATGCTCAGTGTGCTGCAATTTTGATAGGATTATGTAAGATCACGTGAATATAAATTTTGTGACATTTTCTTTCTACATTATGAACAGTTCTGTTTCTAAAAATTATTTGCCTGATGTCAAAAATTGCCTATAAAGTCAAACTACAACAGTAAGCTGTCTTCTGTAGGTACAGTACAATTGTATAACTAATAGCATTGTAAGGTGACATTAATTAAGGACCTTAATTTACCTTTGGGAGTTTCTCTTGCGTCTGCAGAGCCATCAGTTGCTTTGAGAGGGAGATTGGTTGTTGGAGCAGTCATAACACCACTACTTTTAGTAGTTAATAACATAGTTGTTATATTTGATAGATTTTTAGTGGGATGAAATGCTATACCATTTATTTGAGTTGTGTTATGGGAAACCATGGTTGTAAAACTGATGTTATGGGTAGTTGTGGTGACACTGTTTGATTCAGTTTCAGATGACGTGATGTAAGTAGTGGCTTCGTACTTTCCAGAAGTAGTTGTGGGCATCCCGGAAGGGGCTATTCTATTGCTACTTGTCAAAGAGTGCTTTCCATCTTCTGTGGTAAAAGTTAGTGGATGTGTTGTTGATAATAACAAACTGTGAAGGGATGATGAGGGAGTGGTACTGTTGCTAGGAGCGTTGCTTTCTGTTACAGTACTTTTGTTTGGACTGTCACTGATATCTTTAGGTGCTGTAAATATTATGGCAGAGGTTCTACCTGAGGCCACACTAAATGTAGTTGGATTCACAGGAGTGCTGTTTACACTGTTTCTTGAAGGTGTGGGATCCACGGCATCTTCACTGTGATTTCTGGCCCACTGCAGACTAATCAGCAGCAAAATGAACAATGTGCCCTCAGTCGTTCGCATTTTTTTCGCAGCCTCAACACTTGTTCTTTGGTATGGCGTGCCTAAGGGGAACATGTTAAAAAAATCTTTGAGTTCTTGATGGAATTTAATATATTCACAGATAATGCCTTGCTATTCCATTACTGATATCCTGAATGTGAGAAGAAAGCTCCAGTAAATCAGAAAGAAAATGTGTCACTTGTAAACTTGAACTGTTTATAGACTCTTTCATACACTGGGGACTAATATTTTCCTGAGGAATATGGAGATAAATCTGTTTTGTATACATTCAGGATACGTGCAATTAGGGTTACAAATATATTGTCTAGATCAAATTTTGTTCCTTTATTATCTAGAACATTAACATAAGAATTTTTATGTATCTAGTGGCATCTGCTTGCAACAACCCATAGTTGAAGAGAGGGTAGATGACTATACTTCATAGCTAGGGACTGAGGTAGAAGAAAGGTTGAAGGGTACTCCACTTAATGTAAACCAAAGACATGCACATAAAGCCCACTGGTAAGCAATGCTAAAATTATACTACCCATCTTCCATTCTACTAATATCCTTGCAACAATCTAATACCAGGTCATGTTTACTGCAATCTGGGATTATATTTTGGTGAGATCTGGCCCCAGTTTAATGAGATCATGGTAGGGACGGACATAACCATATAAATCCATTTTGTATTAGTTTTACTTGAACTACATCATATGTTGATTCTCTCATTTATTTGTATCATCCTTTAATTTTTTTAATACAGGAAGATGAAGGGTGCATCTGACATGGGGTAAACTAAAAGGCACATGGAAGCCAGAATATATTTATATTTATCATCTTTCACATGTTAAAGGGCAAGTTATGTTTTATCATTCGTGGTCACTTCATGTTCCTATGTGTGCTATGAGAAAGTAGTACCTGGAACCTATTTATTCCTTATCAAATTTTAGTCCGCATCCTAATCTGAATACTGTCACTATTTTTCTCTCACAACTTTGCTATTCAAAATATTTTTTTTCCCGTTAGCTGAACAAATTTATGGATAGGGTTGAATATCCACCATTACTCTTGACCTAGAATGTGTTTTCTAAATGTTTTACTTTTGCTTTTGTTGTTGTTTAGTCGTTAAGTCGTGTCCGACTCTTCGTGTCCCCATGAACCATATTG